AGCGTCCCGCCTCTCGCTCTCTCTCCTCCTCCCGTCCTTTCGCCCTGCCCCCCTCCCCTCCCCCCCCCCCCCTCTTCCCCCCCTCCTCCCCCCCTCCTTGTGTACCAGCCTCTATTTGCAAAGCTAGGGACTCTCTCACTCTACCTAACTCAATACTTACTGAGTGAAGCACCCCTGACTTCTGGTAGCACTCATGTTAGAGAGACAATGAAAAGGGACCAATTCAGATCATTACAGATTGTAAGATGGCGCTGAGGTCCATCGAAGTTCACGGAGGGCACCTGTGCCCCTGTACTTTCCAAATTTATCAACTTTTATCTTATGTATATAGATGTTTTGCACGCATGGATGTCTATACACCCTTTGCATGCCTGGCACCCGAAGCAGCCAGAAGGGAGGGTCAGATTCCCCTGGACTGGAGTTACAGACGGTTATGAGCCACCATGTGGGTGCTGTTCTTCTGGAAGAGCAGTCAGTGCTCTTAACCACTTAGGTATTTCTCTAGCCCCATATTTTCCAAAAGTTTTAATGGGAGTAGGGGAACGCTTGACTATTTTGAATTTTTTTTTATCACATCTATCTGAAGAAATAAAGCAGTTGTACAAACCCATGAGTGAGGTTCTATTTCTGCCTGTATTTTGTAGTTGAAGGAACTGGGGCTCAGTCAGATTGTTATTCTCTGAGTTACACAGCTAGGAAAGAACCGAATCTCCAGTCCATATCCAGCTGCAAAGCTGATGCTGTACAACGTTCTCCCTCCTCGGATGTTGTGGGTGTGTTCTAAAACCTGTACTCTGACTCTCTTCATAGCAGAGAAGTATGGCTCATTTTTAGAAATATCTCCCCTCGTTCACCACTGTCTCTCAATCTTTCAAGGTGTTTGGAATCCTAGCCCTAAAACCAGCTATTATGTGAGCTACAACCCATAGTAAGCTTTCACTGTGTCTATGATACTGGCTATGGTGGGATTTGCTGCTTAGATGCCAAGATAGAGTCTTAGAAGCATCAGTAGGCAAAGGCCTCCTCTTCAAAGTCTGTGTTGGCGTGGGCCAAGTGATGTTCTTTCTGTCACTAGCCTGCTACCCCTTCCTGGACAGCTCTAAGGGGACACAGGCTTTAAGCCTTTGGAAGTCCTCAGAAGAAGACTGAGTAGCTGTGGCTACAAATGTGGCCTAGAGGAGACCATGCGTGCTGGAAGGGGCCATTAAGTTTCTTTCTTGGCTCAATCCAACCCCCAACCCAGGCTTTTGGTCTGTCTAGCTGCACAGCAAAGCTCATATCAAGGGGAGGCCGGCCCCTGATTGTTACACTCTGCAATGATTGTGAAGTCAGAGCCCTGCAAACCCATCTCACCCAAACGGAGGGTGGACCCTTTGCCTCAGTTTTTCTCTGCTTCCTGCCAGCTGATTGTCCTGCAGGGTGGTGGCAACCCTGCACCCCACCCATGCCAGATGGCAACGGTATTCTGTAAAGTGGGGGGTGGGGAGGAAGCTGTACCGAAGAAGGAAGCCCTCAATGTTGTGAATGTGATCGACCAACTGCCAAAGCCATGTCCAAACCCAAAGTTTATTAACCGGTCTATGGCTACCAAAGGCCTCCTGCTTCCCTCAAGACGTAGCTTGACCAACTACTCAGAGGAAGAAACCACTGATGTCATGTAAGAAACAATTTGGTGTCCTCTTTTCTAAGGCTGGAGAAGCTTTGCAGCCCACTGTGGTGGGTCCTTCAGGGAAAAACATATCATGAGGTTCTCCATGCACCCGCCCTGAGCCCCACATCAGTTTTGAGAACATGTGGGTTGCCCATTCTAGGAGACCTTTCTGGACTCTCCAGGGGGTGTTTCTTATTCTACTTGTCACCCCTGCCTTCTCTCCTTCACCTCTCCCACTTTAATGCCCCACCTGCCGTCCAGCTGAGGTTCACAGGTCTGCTAAATAAGTCTGAATTTTCTCTACTTCATACCACAAAACTCTTTCCCTCCTGGTGAGAAATATGACCCAGTATCAAGTTGGGGGATGCAGAGCTGGGAGGCATAGTCCCCACCTCCAAAAAATGTCAGGCCTGGTGCCAGTGGTGTCAGTGGTGGGGGACATCAGGCAATAAAGAAGGAGATACAGTACAGCCTGGTAAATGCCATCACAGGGCACCTTGAGAAACCAAGGGCTTGGTTTAGCTTGGGATAAGATGCAGAAAAGGGAGACTTCTTAGAGGAAGATCTCCAGGGAAAGGGTGTAGAGGGTGATTACTGAGAAAATAGTACAGTCTTATTGAAGTGACCCGTGAGTGGGCCCCGGGCTTAGTATAATGTTCTTCTATCACTGTCTTGAGCTACTAAGTGGATGTTGGGAATTGAACTCAGGTTCTCTACAGGAGCAGCCAGTGCTCTTAACCGCTGAGCCATCTCTCTGGCCCCACGCATGAAATCTTTTATAACTTCCTTTTTAAAAGATTTATTTATTTTATGTATGTGAGTACACTGTCACTGTCTTCAGACACTCCAGAAGAGGACATCAGATCTTGTTACAGATGGTTGTGAGCCACCGTGTGGTTGCTGGGAATTGAACTCAGGACCTCTGGAAGAGCAGTCAGTGCTCTTAAGTGCTGAGCCATCTCTCCAGCCCCTATAATTCTTTTTTAAAGAAATTATTTTTATTTCATATGCATTGGTGTTTTGCCTGCATGTATGTCTGTGTGAGGATGTTGGATTCTCCAGAACTGGAGTTACAGACAGGTGTGAGCTGCCATGTGGGTGCTGGGAATTGAACCTGGGTCTTCTGGAAGAGCACTGGTATACTTAAGTGCTGAGCCATCTCTTCAGCCCCTTTTATAATTTCTTTTAAAAAGGGTTCCATACTTTAATTTTCACTGGGATCCACAGACTGTGTGCTAGTTAGGGAGGGATGTGTCCATTCTAGGTCACCATTAGCTATTGTGACCTGGCTGAGATAACCATTGTTTGTAGGACACTTCATGATTTACTAAGGGTGGAAGGTGGAAAGAGGAGGCAAATCTCAGACAAGGAGTCCTGGGTTCAAATCCAAGTTCTTCCACTTAGATAAATGGCCTCAGCTAAGTTCAGGGGCTAACATTCATCCAGCAGGGATGCTGTGGAAATCAGGGAAGAGACATGTTCCACAAGCAGTCCAAGGTCCAGTGGCCTTCTGTGCCTAATTAAGCACTAGCTTTTTCAGTAGGGGAGTCTGTTTTGGTTTTGTTCACACTGTTAGTTGGTTGTTTTTTGAGACAAGGTTTCTCTGTGTAACCCTGGCTGTCCTGGAACTTGCTCGGTAGACCAGTCTGGCCTCTAACTCAGAGATCTGCCTGCCTCTGCTTCCTGAATGCTGGGGTTAAAGGCATATGCCAACACTGCTCAGCTCCAGTAGGTGATTCTGAAATAGAGATTCTTAGGGCAGTTTGAATAAATGCTGTCGGTGTCCTGACACTTCAGCCTACAAATACAGGACTTAAAGAACATCTGTTTCAAGTGTCCTTTAAGGGACAGTGTAGGCTGAGGGGTGAGTGTTCTAGACTCATCCAGCTGTTTCAGGAGTTTGCAGGTTAGAGCTGAGGGAGGGCATATGGTCGTGAAGCAAACAGGAAGTTGTCAGCTGGAGTAGACTAAGGTAGAAAGGTAGAGTGGTGCCTGTTTACACAGGAAATCTTAGCTGGTAAAAATCAAAGTGAAAATAATATCTAGACACAGATTCAGAAGCTGTGGAGGACATCACAGACAAGGATTGATCAGTTTGTGATGTTTAGTTATAGGTATGTATCAATCAGACTTGTTTTTAAGGATTTGAAAGCTATTGTCATCACCAAGACAATGCAGGGTCATATATTTCCTATGTAATAGCAAAGAATAGCAACAATACACATTTCCATGCAGGGACTGGAGAGACGGCTCAGGCTTAAGTGCATTGGCTGATTTTCCAGAGAACCAGGGTTGGGTTCCCAGCATCTACATGATGTCAGAACTTTCTGTAACTGTAGTTCCATGGGATCCAATGTCCTCTTCTGGCCTCTGTAGGCATGTGGTATACTACATACATGTAGGTAAAGTGCCAATGCACGTAAATTAAAAAGCAACAAATATTCATGTCACACACGAAAAAACACGAAACAGACAAAACGGCTGAAACCTCTGCTGCCTATGTCAGTACAGACAAATCAAAGCACAACATGGAGCAGAAGCCAGGTTTTGGATAGGTATTGCTGGATACCTTTTATTTATATAGAGACATGCAAAACATGCAAATAGTAATAGGTCTTGCCTCAGGTTAACATACATATGCAGCAAGCCTAAGCTGATACATAGTGAATAACAAACAGATAAAAAAAACTCACAACCTTGCTCTGCTGGTTGTGTCAGCTACAGGATACGTAGTTTGAGAAGAGAGGTGTCCAGAGGGTCCAAGCAAGGCCAATATGTCTTAATATCCGAAAATGTAACATGTTACTCTTGGTGTGTGTCTAAAATACCTCCTAATTTAAGAAAATGTACAAATGGGCAATGTTTTAGTTACTGCTCTATTGCTGTGAGGAGACACCATGATCAAGGCAACATACAGAAGGACGCATTTAATTGTGAGCTTGTTTACAGTGTCAGAGGGTCTGTCCGTTATCATCATGGCAGGAAGTATGGTGGCAGGCAGGCAGATGCAGTGCCAGAGAAATATCTGAGATCTTACATCTGATCCCCAAGTTACAGACCCGTGATGGGGTGGGGTTGGGGGAGGCTAGTGTTGGCTTTTGAAACCTCAAACCCAACCCACAGTCACACATCTCTTCCAACAAGGCCACACCTCCTTCAATCTTTCCCTAATAGTTTCACTAATTGAGAACCAAGCATTCAAACATATGAGCTTATGGGAGATTCTCACTCAAAGCAACACAGGGGAACAAATATTTTTGTTTATTTTGCTTTTTACTCTTTTTTTTTTTTTTTAAATCAAGGATCTCATTATATAGCCCAGACTGCTTGGGACATTTGATCCTCCTGCCTCAGCCTCTGGGGTGCTAGAATTTCAAGTATGTTTGTGCCACCATACCCAGTGGAACAGGAAAATTCCTCCAATATATGTATTGCACATAATACAGACTATTAATTTCACATGCTTCGTAATTAATAGTGTTAGATGTCATTAAAATGTAAGTAAATAAAATTACATTAAACGTGAAGTAATAGTAAAGAAGCATTAGCAAAGAAATTAGCTTAATTTATTGCCTTCTTATTAGGTACTTGCAGACATTTCTCTTCACTCTGGTCAGTTGGTTGTGGTCATTTTCTGGGATGCTTGCACCCCATTTTGGTGGGAGGGTTCAGTTTTAGCAGTTTCTAAAATTGTGCTTCTCAGAACACTTAATATCAGAAACATCTGAAGATCTTATTTACAATGCAGCTCCCGTCCCCACTGGGGACCAGGAGTCAAGAATGTGCAGTCTTAGCGAGCATCCTGTGAATCTCAGGCCCTGCTGCTGGTGAGCATGTTTCAAGCCATCTCACAGGTGGGGACACAGGTAAACTGAGCTCCCAGAGCATGTGTTCAGGGTTCCTCAGGCCTATGCGTTGGGGTAGCCTCTCCCTGTGACATCTGACATCCATATCCTTCCCACTCCAGGTTGCAGATGCCAGTGGAAGATTCTGAATACAGCTCGGATGACACTAGTATGTCACCGTCCACTCTGGCGAACCCCATCAAAATGGCTGTGACCCAGCCCAATAGCAGCTTCTTTGCTGGCATCCTGGAGGGTGAACTGAACAAACTCAGTTTATCGTCACTGGCCAAGAACACAGAAAAGGAGAACATGGCCATCTGCCCCCGTTCATCTAAGTCCCAAATGGCCACCAGGGGCCTATTGGACCTGGACAACCCTGCGCTGGATACAGACACCTCCTCAACACGCTCTGAGTCTTCTGTGGTCATGGATGTGCCGGAGGCCCCATTCATTTGTGAACACACTGTTGGTGATTCCACAGCTGTGGTATATTTTTCTCTTGGCAAAGGCTTACTGCGTAGGGGGTGTGAAGGAATCGTCCCTGCATTCTGACCTCTAGTTCATGGTTTAGGAAGGGCGGCAGGAGGGTGTGTGTTTATGGAGCTTCAGTACGAGATGAATTGGGTTTATTGCTTCCCTGTTCAATGCAGAAGAGTTGGATCAAGTTTGTCAGGAATTCAGAGAGAAAGGTTACTTGCGGCTGAGCATTGGCTAGAACTGGGAAGTGTAGAAATGACCAACAGCCTCAGTGTGTCCGGAGGACTTCTGGCAGGAATGTTCCTACAGTCCACCTTGACTCCATCCCAAGAGGGTTTGAGGGAGGCCTGACAATATCCATTGCTTACCTAGTCCCAGGTAATGGAAATGTTATAGTAACTCCCAGAGGTGCTGAGTCAGATTTCTACTCTGTCATTAGTTGATGTGATGATGACCTTTCTATAGTTGGAAAAGATGCTTCCCATAGGTAGTTTTCAGCTGACTCCTCCGTCCCCATGCTGCAAGGCATGTGGGTGCACGTCCCTCTAGACCTGTCTGAGTGAGCTCCAGTAGGAAGAGGAATGGAAGGGCCATTGTGATGTCCCCCACCCCCACCCTCACTTATACCATGGGCCAGGCCAGACCTGAGGAAGCCTGGGTTCTCTCTTTGCCTAGATTTCCTGGACTTATGCTGCAGGTAAGCAGCAGGTCAGTTTCTATCAGGTGCTGCTACAGGAGGCAACCAAACCAGGTGACAAGGAGGTGCCCAAGGTCAAGAACAGACCCTGGATCTTCAACAAGATACTGGGCACCACTGTCAAGCTGATGGAGCTGAAGTCAAACACGAGTTACTGCCTTACTGTCCGGGCTGCCAACACAGCAGGGGTAGGGAAGTGGTGCAAGCCCTATAAGGTGAGTCCTGGAAGCAGAAAGGCACAGGTCTAGGGAGGGAAGGCAGATTCAGAGATAGCGAGCTGAAGGTCAGAACCATTGGGCCAGATGGGTGAGAAAGTACAAGAGGATGGTGAGGGGCAGGAATCCCCTCAAGCCTCATGGCCTTGCTTGCTTTCCTTATGCCTGGACCAATACGCATTAATTCCAGATTGCTGTTCCCTGAAAGGTTTATAGGTTAAGCTGTTTGGGGGCCCATTAGAAATGCAAACTGATAAATTATAAAAATATCATCACGTTCATTTTCTAAAGCCATGAGTTCTTGTATTCCTGAATTCCAATAATTGTGAGTGGACCAAGAATTGTGAAGGGAAAATGGAAGAGAGCATAAGGAAGCCTGTAGCTATCAAAGGGTTAGGGTAGAGAGAACCCTACAGTGACTGTGGCATGAGGCTGAGACCTCACTTAGCAGTAAGGTGATGGAGATGGGAGCCAAGGCTAGCCTGGGAAGGCATCCTGACTGTTCGTTTTATTTCAGTTTGCCACCGTGTGTACTGACTTCAACAGCTTCCCTGAAAACAATCCCATCCAGATTACTGTGCAGCGCAAACAACCTCAGCGGAGAACTGTGTCCATGACAATGGAGGAAATGCGGAGACTGGAGGATCTGGAATACTTATATCCATATTAAGGGGTGTGGGTCGAGGCTATCCCTTGCCCACTGTCTGCCTTGGCTCTGGGTCCTCAGGAACCAGAACCATGAGATGTACTGTACTATCAAGCACCAAGCCAAAGAACCACTAGTTATCCACCAGCCTAGGGCCTGGGGCAGATGTATTGGAACCTCAACCCTGGGTTAGGGCCATGGATAGACAGGAGCCCCGCTCGCCTAGTGACATCTTGGGCTGGGTCAGGCTCAGTCACTGCCCAACAGCTGCTAGGCACCCTTCTTCCTCCCTGACCTGGGCTGGTTCCAGGTCCCCCATTAAAGAACTGAAGGCCCATACAGCACCCTGAAACTCTGCTTCCTGTTGCCACAAGCCTAAGCTGGGCCAGAGCACAGGCCTCTTGTCAGAACCAGCAGTCCGGCAGGTAGAATGAGACTAAGGATGGCTGGGTGACAGGGTGACAATCAAGACTAAATGCTCAGCTTTAGGGAAATGTTCTGGCTGAATCCTAGCTTGTGCAACCTTCCCTTATGAAGTACAAGGCCATTGTCTTCTGGGGCTCAGGTAGCTAACACTAATGTAAGGCCTTTTGGGCATGGGTGCAGGATCACGGTGACACACATGCGCCGACACTGGGCAAATCTAACTGGTGGCTCCCGTATCTCTCATGTAGCCCTATTCTGATGTGAGAGGGGAGGCTGAATACTCAGCTGAGTGACATGCAAAATGTAAAATGCCCTAATAGAGGTAGGAAGCATAAGGATCTATTACCAGGCAGACCCAGAAATCTCTCCAAAGATGACTAGAGGCCATGAACAGACAATGCTGAGCCCCAGTTAACGATACAGCAAGAGAAAATGACAGTAGGTTCTTGCAGAGCAAAGGTCTCAGCCAAGGCCTGAAAGACTGGGGAACCCTTCATTCCTTCAAGGTCCTTTGAGAGCAGTCCCTCATGATACTGTCTCACACCAACTGCCCCCCCCCCCCAATCCTCTGCAATGGCCTTGGCCTTCCTCTTTAGCCTGAGGGCCTGGAATGGTGCTGGGAATCTGGCAAGGTCTTAAACAGTATTTGTCAAGAGAGGCACTGGCAAGACTGTCATCTAATCCCAGAGTCCTCATGAGCAGGCTGAGAACAGGGTCAATAGATGTGCGTACTTTTTAGTTTGTGCAAATAGGCACGTGGCAGGATGACCATGGACAGCACAGCCTTAGCCTTTCCGCTGGCCACTGGCCTCTCTCTTACTGTGAAGGAGCAAAGGGCAGCTTCCTGATCAGCAAGGGCTACTGTCATCCAGTGCAGGAGAGGGCCCAAATGAACCTTCTCGAAGTCCCTGACTGAGTGTGGGGGTTCTAGGACAAAAAGCTGCAACAGGAACACAAAATATAAGTTATTTATTTGGCCACATTGCCTAGGGTCTGGGCCTGCACAGCTAACACTTGGAAAAGGACACAGGAGCCAGAGGCTTGGCTTTCCCAGTGCTGTTAGCACCAGCCAGGACGTGTCCACGGCTTAGCTCCATGTTGTAACGTCCTGACTGTCACACATTGGAGACCTGTCCTGGGCAGGTGGCCATGTGCATTCCTTGGTCTCTGGCAGGGCAGGTAGAGGCTGAGTCCAGGTAGGGGTCAGGAAGCTGGAGCTTCATCTTCTCCATCTGCAGGGGAAAGGAGAGGCATGGGAGGGATCCATGCTCCTATAGCCCTGTCAAGAGCCTGGTACCTGCTCTAGCTCTGAAACTCAATCGTGTACCCATGACACACCTCAGCCAGGACCCCTCTCCTTCCCTCAGTCCTGACCTGTGACCTGCTGTGCCTCCCGCCAAGCATCAAGTTGCTGTCAGAAACACGGTGCTTTAGGTGTCAGTGTTCACCGTCTGTGACCCTCCTTTCTAGAAAGGTGCTGTGCCTGCACACGGCCAGGAGAACCAGGATCTGAACCCAGGTGCCACAATTGCAAAGCCTGGCATCTTAACAATGAGCTATTGCATTATGGAGACCTACAGGTTCTCCCAGAGTGTCCCATAACCCCCTATTTCTACCTCCCATGGAGAATCTGGCTCTTGTGCCTCAAGAATGTCCCTCTGAATTCCATGGCATGCCAAAGAGCAGACAAGGGCTGGCCAATGTGGGCCAGGAGAACCGAACACCCCAGCTTCTACCACACCCCAACTCACATCCGGAGGCACTTGTCTTTGCCACCGCTTGCTACTCTCTGGCCATCTGGACTCCAGTCAACAGCATATACCTAAACAGAGGAAGGGGTCAGACAGTGCAGGGCTGAGGGGCAGGGTCAGGGCCAGCGCCAACCGCAGCCTCTGTGCAGTGAGCCTTACCTCATCGGCATGGCCAGGGAGGTCTATGGCCAGTTTCTGGGCCTTCACATCCCACACCTTCAGTGTGCTGTCACTGCTGCCACTGACCAGCAATCTGCTGTCAGCTGACCAAGCAATCTGGTACACAGCAGCCACATGACCACGCAGGGAAGCTAGGTACCTGGGCCAGGGGAAGCCAGTGATAGGTATTAGATCTTCAACATGTCCACAACATGGCGCTCACCTTGGCTACCTGCTAGCATTGTCTGGGTCCCATGCTAGACCGTTTTGATAACTGGCCATTACTATTTTGTGAAACTTTGCCAGCTGAGTGGGTTTGAGGCTCCTCTTGCTAAGCCTCCAGACCTGCACGACACTGCATGCCTGAAAGTCCAATGTGCCACCTGCTTAGCCCATCTGCCTGGTGTCCTCCAATATACCAGGTGCCAGCTGACAGGTGGTGTGGAGTTAACGGAGGCCCAGGCTCAGCTGGAGCTTTCAGGTTTACAGAGTCTAGCTGTGATGTCTAGTTAAGCCATTAAGACTCAGTTTCCTGGCTTTCTAAAGGATCTGAATTACCACTTTTTTTTTTTTTTTTTTTTTTTTTTTTTTTTTTTT